CAGAATTAGGGTTCTTTTCATTTATTCATTCATAATAAAAAAGCATTTACGTACTATACATATAATCCCATCCTCGAAGCTAAAATAATAGAGAAGTTTTGAATATATTCTCAATCTATCCATATATATCCAATGAACGATCAAAACCAGAAGAACTAAAAATTACCAATAAAATAAAGAACATCGTGTCCATTAATAAGTAATAACTGGGCATCAAGAATCAAGAAACCGGGTAGTACAATTGATTCAATTCGCCCAATAGATCCAACTCAAAGTTCCATAAGCTGATTTGCGAAGGCTTCTACGTCCCCTAGAAAGTCATCATCCCCGAGCGAATCATTCATCAGCATCGACTCTAGCTCGCCCAAATCCGCAAACCGATTCTCATTCCCAGAATCACAGCCCAAACACCCTTCTCTAGACTCAATCATGTGGCGGGACGACGCCAGCTCGCCTAAATCCGGGAACCGATTCTCATTCCCAGAATCATAGCCCAAACACTCTTCTCTGGACTCAATCACGTGGCAGAACGCCAGCTCGCCGAAATCCCACTCGTACCCGCCGCTAGAATCAGACTCGCCCAAACTCCCGCCCGCCGCCCCGAGGAGGGCATTGGGGTCGCCGAAGATGTAGGGTTTCCCAGCGGGGGAGAAGACAAGGGCGGCGACGCGGGTTCCCGGGCAGAGGCGGCAGATCTCGTGGGCTTTCGTGAAGAGACCCTGGCGGCGCTTGGTGAAGGCCCATTCCTCCTCTCCACGTTCTCGATTTTCTTAATCTCGATTTTGGCCTTCCCTTTCCCCATTATGAAGGGAAATTTCTAATTCAGAAAGAAATGAAACAACGTTGTCTGAAGAAGAAGGAAGATTAAGGAAGTTAATTGCGTCAGGTGAAGTTCACTCTAGGAGTGTGGTTAAATATATAGGGCGGGCGGGAGGGTCCGCAAACAACGGGAATTCAGTTGGGACACTACTGAAAACACGTACTTAGCTAAATTTGAGTTCTGTTTTGTGTCTGAGATCCGGAAATTTACCACATCCTAAAAAGATACTCAAAGATTTTTTTTAGTGCTTGCATACCAAGAAAAAGGGGGTTTGGGTTTTACAGTGCAGTAAAAGTGGGTTGGGGTTGGGGTTGGGGTTTCGCACTAAATTTTTAGATAGAGTAGAGCAATGGTAATCAAACACAAATTATACATTTACTCTCCCCCCAAAATATAAGCAACACTCTACTATTTAAAAATCACGGGAACTTATTTTTTATTTTTGCATTTTCATTGATTATTTGATAGAATAAAATATTTTTGTCACCGCATATTTTGT